TGATTTTTTCAAAGCAACAACGAGAAAAAAAACTCGATGGACTAGTCTAATAATTATGTGGGACACGACGGTCCATGTTTGGTTACCTAAGACTACATAACGAGGAATGTATGACATAGAAATGTTTTGACGTGGTATTTATAAAATTTGGCTGTCACATTAATTTTGGAGAAATAATCGTGATTTGAATCGATAGATCGATATTCAGAATACTCTGAACTTAGTATGAATCATAGTAATATTTTGATAATTTTAATAAATCGTGCGGATGTATTTCCATCATACATGGGCTCCTTTGTTGTTGCTTTAGATACTTAAGAAATAGATTTGCCTAAAAATTAGTAATTGATTAAAGTATTATTTGAGTTCTAAAAATTAGTTTTTAAAGAATAAAATAATAAGTAAATAATTCAATAATTTTCAAAATTACTTTTACCACCAACGCATTTACACATTGGTTAATTGATTTCTGGTTTGAAAAGCATTTTTATATAGTTGAAAATGTTGGCTATATTCTTCATATTAAGTATTTAAATATTTATTAATATCAATTGCTATCAACTTTCATTAAAATTTGGAATTTTTTTAAAATTGACAATCCTCTGTCCAATCCTTAATATATATATATCAGTCTTTTTATTATCATTGATACATTATTGATATATTTTTAGGGCATTTTCTTCAGATTGCCTCAGATTCTCTACATTATTCTTTATTAATGAAATCTAATCCTCTTAATTTCACTAATTTTTACAACTATATTCAAGCTTTGTTTTGTTACAATATCCAGAAAAATTACTTTTACTAAATTTTCCCAATATTTTGTTAGGTATGACTTTCGATTCATTTTACCATCTGCTTTATCATCATAAAACTTCCTTAGAATCCATGTCTCTAATCTTGAGATTTGAGATTTCACTCGTATCTTTCACAATTTGCTCATCAATAGTGTTAGTTATTCGTAGAGGTCTTATTTTAAAACTTCAGCAATAAGTTTGGTTTAAAAAAAATGATGGATTTTGTTTTTTCCCCATAAAATGATTCAACAATCTATATTCAATGCACTTAAAAAGTATTTAATTCATATTAACATAAATTCAATTAGGAACTGATTTTGATGTCGATACTAATTTAAAAATAATTAATCACGTAAAATAAAAACAATTGATTTAAGTATGATTTTTTGCATAATTTCATCACCTTCATTTGATTATTTATTAACTTTTTATACTTGTAAACATCATTAACATATTCAGGAATTATTAACGGATCTCCAACTTCCATCATAATTATTTTTATGTATGATTAATAAATCTATATATATATATATATATATATATATATAATTAATATTCAATCTTCTCGAATCAAAATATCAATTCAATGTCTCTTCGTATTAGTGCTGACATTTAATTCATAAATGGTAATAATGATTAAATCGATATATTATTAAATCTATCATATGATTTATGTGAATAATTATGACTAAATGTGATAGTGATTTCGATAATCGAAAATGATACGACACAGAAGATTAAGGAGGTACCGCAAAAATAATTGCGCTTATTATGGAAGATGGAGGTAAATGCACCTGATTTTTAAGAAAATGAATATATTATACAAGTTCTTTTTTTTATTAATTAAAATTTATTATTAATTTTTTTTATCAAATAATTTTTTTTAATTCTCTAAACAAAATTACAATTTGTCTCATATATTAAACATATTCTTGTGCTAATTATTATTAATTATTAATTATTTAGACAAATAAGTAAAAAGACAAAAAATGCATTGGCCAAATGCATATTTGAAAAAATGAATCACGTTATAGTGTTGTATTATTTTTTTAAACAACCAATTTTATTCAAATAAATTATTTGATTTATATTCAAATTGAATTTATTTATTTAAATAAACAACATTTAAATGTAAATATTAATATTGTTGTATGAAGTGCTAGGAAAAGACAAGAAATGTCAATGCTTGTCTTAAAGCAAAAGTTTTCTTGTAATAAGCACACACACATTATTATATATGTTTATATATATATATATATATATATATATATATATATATATTGTTTTGTCTTGGAAAGTCATTAATATGATAATTTAATTGAATTATTAACCTTGAATCGATCAATTAGATATTAATACTTCATTCTTTTAAAAATAATCATTGTAGGGATTGGTCAATCTGTATATGTATATGTATATATATGTATATATATATATATATATATATATATATATATATATATATATGATGTCCCAGAACTCAACGTCAAGCTGAAACGTATTCGTCATCATAACTGCCATGAAAAAATTAGAAAAAAAGTTTATCTCAAGTTGTTTGATATCATGAGCTTTTAAGTGCAACCTTGAGCTTTAGTGCAAAAGTGACTATTTTTCGGTTATTTTGGGTAATTTTATTAATTTTGTTCATTCAACTATGGATCGGTAACCTTAAATTACATTTCTAGGACCATAGTCAAAAATAATGACACAACTGCCCTAAGTTTTTAAAAATTAAGACTTCAAAATTAATCGACTTTGAGAGGCCTTTTTTGCAAATAAGTGTACTTTAATGTGTTAGCAATTACCATCAAAAGTTGGTATTTAATTAGGATTATATAATGGTTACTTGGCTAAATCTTTATAAAAATAATTGAACCCCGATCTAAAAACCTAAAATCCATACGTTGAGTTCTGGGACACCCTGTGAATGGAAGATATTTGAATATGTTTTTTCTATATATGATACATACATAGAAATATGATTTATTTTATTCAAAATTTACACAAGTTTTATTTATATCACGTGTGTAAGAAAACTCTATAGAAATATGTAGTATTGAATATCTATTTTGTTAATTTGTTTCGTTCGGTTTCACTTTTTAAGGATTAATTACCATTCAATAATACAACTTTTTTCTAATTTTTTTAGCAATCATCAAAATCATTGTATGAACCTCAAAGATATATAAAACAGTCTGCATAAATTAAATGGTTTATTCAAATGTAATCATCTCGTGTAAAAACACTATGGAAACATGTGGTTTTAAATATCTATTTTTTAATTTCTTTTGGTCGGTTTCACTTGGTCAATTATAATGAGCGATTTTACTTTAACAAAACAGTCAACGAACTTTGTGTACGCATTCACAAATTAATTGTAGTAAACAATATAAAAGAAAAATACTAATAAAAAGTGCAGTTAATAATAACACAATGTAATGAGCTGAAGTTTTATTCTTAATCGACCATTAAATACTGTTTTTTTTTTCAAATTAGTTTGTTATAAATTGGTCATTCTTTTACTTTTTATAATGTGAAAAGTTTTTATTCGGCGATTATAAGTCTGGTTTTGTTTTCGACAGGTTCAATATAATTTTAATTCTGTTGTTTGGATACTTTCTTGAAATTAATTAAAAACATTTCCATAACTATGTCGTTGGTAAAAAGTTTTATGTCTAGCTTGAATAAAAAATTAAGTAATTATAAAAGAATTAAAGTTGGATATAAATAAAGGAAGACTTTATCAAGAATATTTTTGATATACTAGATACTTTATAGAAATTGACTTGCTAAATATGCCTTAGTTTCTAACTAATTTAGTTTTTTTTTTTTCATTTAGAGAAAACAACATTTTAAAAAAATTGCATAGGAATAATAATTTTTAGTTTTTAAAGATACTATATGAACTAGTATTGTAAAAATTTCAAAACATGAATATATGAAAAGAAACTAAGTAGTTTTAATGGTTTGCAAATAATAATCATGTTACATACAGTACTTAATTATCACGGTATTAAATATCTACTTTTTAATTCCTTTTAATCGATTATCAATTAAAAATTCGATACAAAGTCTGATGTGGAATATAGTGTAAGAAAAGTTTATATTATACGTTATATTATTTTATTAATCTTAAAACGCATATATTATTGCCTTCATGTCAAGTAAATCGAGAACTTAGATATATAGTCTTGATACTATTAGTTGTACTTATGTTCATCGTGTCATAAACATATATGATGTCTTACTTCTGACTTTTAATGAATTTAAGTATATAAAGTTGGCAGAGAGCCAGCGACCAGGCTACTAATATGAAATAAAATAAATTGTTAAAATATCTATTTACGTCATTATGAAAAAATGATATTTTTATTAATTTTTTGAAATATGAGTAGGTACTATATCAAATGAATGCACTTTTTGTAATTTTTGTCCAGATTTTTATGGAATTTTAGGATTAAAATAATTTGGACAAAATATTTAGAAATAAATATATAAAGTTCGATGAAAAACCAGCGATCCCAAAATAATAATATTAATAAATAATATTCTGTTGCTATTTTGTGAGAAAAAAATCTGGGATATTTTCAGTAATACATAGTTTTTATTTGTCAATAAAATAACGTTATTATTGACCACATCTTTGTCATGCAGATCTTGTATACCTATGTATATATCCATATATTTTCCAGTTCGTCAACTCTTCCTCTAACCAATATTTGTCAAATCCACAATTTTTTTCTTATCCAAAGATGTTTTACACAGCATCTCATGATGTCAAAATTATTAATTATCTTCATGATTCTCAATCTCAATCAAGGTCTCTTCAGGAATGACTTTGATATTACTCGGACGACAAAAGACAACAAAGTCGTTGTAAAAGATGACTCAATTTTCTAATTAAGATCTGCATGAAATCGTTTTTCCATGATGCAAAGATTGCCACTCATGCTACTTCATAATGTACAGTATATATTATATTCTGGTCATTAGTGTAGATTATTTTTATGGTACAGACAATGACATTATTTGATGGATGACAGTGGCAATTTATTTTATGGACTCATAGTAAATATATTCTTTGGCACACATACAAAGATTGTAATATATATTTTTATGTATGTAGGTGTGTATGTATGTATGTCCTGTATATAATATTTTTATAAAATTTATATATTTAATATTTTATATCTTTTATCTCAGATCCGTGGGAGATATGGACTCCACCGGTTCCGTATCAGCGGTGGAAGGCGCCCTGGAGCGCCTCGGAAAACAAAGAGGCGAGTTGGAGGAAATGTGGGCTGCCCGGAAACTCCGGCTCGATTTATGTCTGAGACTCCGGTTATTTGAGCGAGACGCTTTGGAGGTTAGTTTGATATTCCCCAAAAAATCATTTTATTATAGTTAAATATAGTTCTCGTGAACTAATAAATGGTAGGAATTTAAATATCATAGCAATTAAAATAAGGCATAAAATCTCCCTCCCAATCAATTTTATAACATTATTGTCAAAGAAAAGGATATATGGTGCACTATACAATTATATACAAGCAAATAAAATAAAAGTGTAAAGATTAATTATAAAATGTTTATGACTAACAAATAAACAGTAATAAAAAAAAACATAGCAAATTTCCCAAAATGTACAATTCTACGAAGGGTTTTGAATTTGTAGGCTCAGTAATGAAACAGCACCGAAATGTTGTACTGCAAAATTGGCGTTTTTTGTTGAACTATTTTTTTGTTATAGGATTATTTAATAATACTATTTCTGATTAAATTACAAAATAATAATTCCTATTGGTTAAAATGATAACTAAATAAATGTTCAACTGAGATCCATCGATTTATCTTACAATATGTTATTTAATAAAATATATCCTTAACGATTGCAATTATATATATTATCTAGAGGTCACTTTCTTTTTTTGACTAAAATGGCGACTTAATTTGTGCAAATAAAAATTACAAGTAAAATTTATCCTAATTTTCTTATCAGCAATCATATATAATTGTTTCAAATTGATTGAGATTCTCATTGAGATCAGACATTGACTTTCTAATGATTTTATTAATTTGGTTAATGTAATTGCTATACAATAATTATGATCATTAAATATTTTATAATTTGATTTTATAGAGTATTTGGTGTTCTAGATTTTTATTTGGCAATAAATTTATAATGTTCAGTACTATTATATCTCAAATAACTTATTTATATGATGCATAGATAAACCATGAAGGTTGTTAATGTGTCACATATTTTCTGATTTTTCTTTTTTGGGATTATGTATAAATATTGGATTACTTATAATTCGTAATTTTACTTTGATGTCATTTCAATCTTCTTCATATAACTTCCTTTACTTACAAATTATTTTCATATAAATTTTAAAATCACAATCAAATCCGTAATTATATGACAAAACTAAAATTCGTATATTTTCCTATCCACTCCTGGTCGTACAAATAAATAATTATAATTTGGATTGATAATTATATCATAGAATTGTCATTTTACATACTATGAACAATAGCGCGAGAATTCTTATTTCATGTAATAATATATTTTACAATTCCGTCTTGTATAATTTGTTTTTGCGTAATCTTATTACTATGATTGAGAAATAATTATTAAATTATTATTAAAGAATTTTGTGAACGGCATAATTTGTGATTATAGTATTTGCTTCGCTTGTTATAATATTGATTACATAGATAATAACACATTACAATCACAATTTTTTATTTTTACAACTAATATGACGAGTTCAAGGTTTTTTATGAAGGTAACTTGGAAATATAGAAATTTTTGCTTCTAATCAATATATATTATTATACAAAATAAATATTATCTTACAAATTTATTGCATTTCCCGATATTGGAAAGTGATCCAAGCTGGTTTTCAATTATATTATTTATTGATCAGAATCACCTTCTAACGAGAGTGACACACAGATTTTAAGTACCAACAAAACGTCTTAATAAAATCGATAATAAAACTTAAACAAGATGGAAACGGATTTACTTTTCTCAGGTGTTCCAATTTTGAAAACCTGATCTAACTAAGTCTGAAATTACTTTCAGTGAATATTTTCGATCTGTATCGTGATGTACATATTTCATATGTTGTTATTTGTGCACTTTCTAGTAATATATAAATTAGAAGGGCACCTGGCAAATTATTTCTTATGATAAATACATATATATTTTTATGTACACAAATGTGAAATCTTGAATTTGATGTTGATATGATATACATGAGTTGATTTTTAATTATCTCATGCATTAATAAAAATTCTACCGTATAGCATACTTAGTTTTTTTGAGTAAAAAAGGATATGTACATTGGATCAAATAATCGATAGATAAGGAAATAATCATTTGAAAAATATCCAATAATTGTCGAATTGCCCTCTTGAACTATTTTTCCGGTAAATATCAAAAGTGGAAACGTATCTTCTATCATAAAATAATTTTGTCTTATTACAAATATCCATTTACTTTTGCTCTATCATCTGTTTTGATCCAAAGAAAATGATTCCTCTCCTCTCCTACGACCATTTTGTGCGACCCACTTATAAGATGAGGAATTAATTTCTGGCGTAATGAACTAAGAGAGAGCGAGAGCTTTTCAGGAACTGGCACCATAGAAAATATACGTCAACGAGAAAATGAACCGGCTACAAAGGAATAATAAAACTATAATGTGATCATTGAAGTTCTTTGAACATACGTCTTCTTGTACTACCTGTATGGCATATGCAGGGAAGGAAAACATTCAACAAAATTGATTATTATACCAATTGGTCTACTCTTACTTTTTGTTACCAAACAAGAAAGCACAATTCATTCCTTTGCCCCCTCTTGTTTAAGTTCTCTATAATTAACATTTCAGGTTTATGCTTCAGTGCCTACATTTTTTTTGGTTGAAGTTTTCAGTTATTTTTCTAAACATTGATTTTCATAGCAATTAGTCTGTTTTTTGGTTATTATAAGTACTCTCGATGAGGACAAATGAGGAAGCTCCATATTTTCAATTCACTGCTTCTCCTTGTTTACTTCTCTACATCTGTTTTTCTAAAACTTCTTTCATTATATGTTTCATATATGGGTTTTCATTTTTTTTTTAATTTTTCCTTCTGCGAAAGGTTTCAGAAATCTGTTCAAACCATAGGTTCTCAAACTTTTTTGTGAACTCCTTGAGCTTGGCCATGGACACCCTATTTACATAAAATCGATTTTTTATACATTTCTAATCGTACTAAAGTTTATTATAAAAAAATTTAAGTAAAGTAATACATGTTAATTTCATATATTCATTATTTGAATTTAAAATTATAATAAAAAAATAAAATATGCGAAAAATAAATATTTAAATATCAAAATTTTGTCACTTTCTTTATACTGTCTATTTTAACACTATTAAATTGTTTTTAATCTTTAGTATCCCGAAATATACTATGATATTTTCAAAAAGCGCAAAGAATATTGACAGACCTCTAAATAGTCAGAAAATTGGGTCCTTACAAGCTCAACCATTTTGTGACCACAAATCAAATGATTACTTATGCTACAACTTACACATTTTTTAAAAAAGAAAAATATTTTAATTGGCTTTTTATTTCTATTTATAAATACTGTATAGGACTTAATAGATAGATAGTCATTAACGTGGTGTAATCCATTTTCATTTCGTGGACCTAGAATTTTTTTGGCTGTCGTGGGCCTCCTGGATGTTGTCCATGTGGATGGGCATTTTAAGAATCACTGGTTTTGGTCTTCTTTGTCTTCTGGTTAATTTTGGCGCTGTTTTCAAAACTGATACATATTTGAAACTGAACATATTTTACTCATTTTCCACTTATGTTTAATTCTCTACATTTTATGCCTTCTGCTTCTGGTTTTTCTATTTTATTTGAGCGTGTTGTCTTGTTTCATTTTTCTGACAATTTCCTATTATTATACACTATTTACTTGTGATTCTGACACACGATTTAGTACCAGTTTTTTTAAATTATTAATTTTTCATTCTAGAAGTTTTCCTCCCCTGCTTTGTATGAATATATTTACAATGTTTTTGTATTTATTACCTCTATAAGTGCACATTGCTTGACGTACTCATGCATGTTCGAGATGAGAATCGAATGCGGGCCAGTGGGGCGAAGAGAGTGCTTATACCTTATACATTAGAAGATGCAGACAAGAAATTGCCTTTTTAAATTCGATTTGTGTGCAGAAATGATGAAAAAGTATTTGCCTTGCTTTGTTTGTCTATATATGCACAGTTTTCTTTTTATTTTTTCGTTAATCACTTAGCGTGCAAATCAGACTTCACCGTGCAGAATTGATACTGGACGCAAAGAAGTTTTAATATTGATGGTAGAAAAACTTTCAAAATGTGTCATTCTGATGACGTTGAAAATTGCTTTCGTTGCTTCTATCATGCTTTACGAAATCGATACTGAAGTTTAAATAATTACTGGTAGGGTAGGCCGGGGCACAAAGGTCTAACTTAACTAAGCAATTATATTGTGAAAACCAGACCAATTACGTCACAACAAATAACGCAAAACAACCAAACAACTATCTGACTATGTTCATCATCTAATTCATCACTGCAGAAATATGTATCTTTTACTATTTTTCAAAAATTTGTCACCTCGTCCTTTTTACCCGATAGGCGAAGTCAAAAGGGACAGCTAGGATGCAAAAATATCTACCATTTTACTTTTAATTTAAACGAGGTTTTATGGAATAATCATATTCGAGACAGTTGTAAATATGTAAGTTTAAACATATTGAACAAAAAGTTTTATGAACTCTAACTACTTTTATAAATCTTGCTTTGGTAGGTATTTCTGTTTGATTTTTCATAATCAGACTCATTGTATAATAAAATACAATCATTCATCGATCAATATAAATTAAAACTTTGTCAAATGTAAAAGAAAGACTATACACTTTGAAAATTTTAAAAACGGCCAAAACTTTGTCAAATGTAAAATATAAATCATTCATCATCAATACAAAAAAATGAATACATTGGGTACGTTTTTTAGATATTAGTGGTGGAATTGTTTATTTGCGAACCTTTAACCCTATCCTAATATATAATTATTTTTATAAATGTTACAATTGAAAGCAAAAATGTTATTTCGGAAATAAACAGTTTGAACACTTTACCTAAATAGCTGAATCTCAATTCTTGTAGTCCATTAGTTATGGACTGAATTGATTATGTATACGTATCGTAAAATTCATGCAACTTGCTTTCAGGCAAGATGCTACTTACAGCTAGTTAAATATATACATAAGTATATTTTCTTTTTCTAATTGCTTATCCCGAGATGGCGGTTCAAAAG